AAGTGAGATATGTTTGGCAAGGCCTAAACCTGCTGTTTTAGGTCCATGTTTGGGCCTGCTCTGAACATTTGCTATAGCCCTGTTCCTGCACAAAGTCCAAGGGTGCTGCTTGTTTGGTTTTATCATTATATTTCTTAGCAGGATAAATAAGCCAACCTCAAAATTTTTCTCACTGCCTCTGATTTCTGTCTAGAGTTTTGCACTCCTTTTCTCAGTCAAGGTTATTCCTTGTGACTTATCACATTCTGTGGTTATGTCATTAATTCCTTGGAGGCTGTTTCTTCTTCTCCCTTAGAATGTGAGCTCCATCAGGGCAGAAACTAACCCAGTCCATCACATTGACTGTTCTATCCCCAGCAACTTGTATGATGCCTGACATATAGTGGATGTTCAATGAATATTTGAATGAGGGAGGAAAATATGTCCATCCATATATATAAGTAGAAATATTCACAGGGTTTTTTTGTAATTATTAATAGTATCCAGTTCTTTTCATATAGAATGCCCTCCCATTGAGCCCTTTCTATGGCTGGCTCTTGTTGGCATTTATGTCTCAACTGTGATGTCCCATTTTCATAAAGGTGTTCTCTGACCACTGATTAAAGAATTTACCACCCACCTGTAAGCCTTTGCCCTAGTTACGTAAAGAAAATCATAATAACTTATTTGATAGTAGTTATCACAGTCTGAAACATTTGTTCCATGAGTGTAAGCTTCTTAAGGGCAGATACTCTGCCTGTATCCTGTGAGTTTCCATCCCTGGTCCCTAGCATGGTGGCAGGGTCTTAGTAGGTGTTCAGTAAATATTTGTTGAGTGAATGGATTTGACGTAAGAGTTCCAGGGCATTATTTGGTAAAATCCAAATTCTGTAGTCAGTACAGAGTGTCATCAGTACAGAGTGTCTAGTAAACTGTCAAAATAGCCAACATTTTTTCAGAGAAAATTAAACATTAATCTTGAACTGGAATGACACATGCCAAGAAGAGCAAGAATCAGCATTTTTAGATATTTAGATTTATTCCCTCTAATCTCTGCAGGAATAAATTGGATGCTAGTTGAAGACTACTCCCTACACAGGAGGGTGGAGAAGAAACGCAGTTTTTTCAATTAGGAGTTAACCAAGTATAAAATGTTAACAGTAATCTCCTGGTAATGGGACTAGGGGTAATCTTTATTATTAATGCATAAAGCTGCAAAAAAGTTTTTGCTGTCTGTATGTATTAGCTTTTTTCTAATTATGAAAATATTGTAAAAACAAAAGTGATACTAAAAATATTAAGGAGCGTTAGATATAGCACTTTTAAAACTGAAACTAAGCCTATGAATAATTTAAAAGTCTTACATTTTATAGCTGAGGCACCAGTTGAAGAATTTTTTTCTAGGTTACAGAGCTAATTGGGGGCATTGCTAGGGCTGGAACTCACACCACTGAACTCTCATGCAAAAGCACTTTTCAATATCATGCAGATACCAGGCTCTGTTGCCAGGTAGTGAATCAGCTGGGGGTAGCTCTGATTTTACACAAGCTCCCCAGGTGATTCAAATGCACACCAGAGCCCAACATTGCATCAGATGGTGCTGCCTTTCAGACCTTGAGCCACGCCAATATTCAAATGCTCTAATGTTGATTGAACAGATATCTGAATCCACCCTCTAATCATGAAAATAGCAGTGATTGGCAGGTTAAGATTAGTCCTGATCTTGCATTTGAAAGTTTCACTATATTGTTTGCTAGAGTGTATGATTGATAGTGATATGCCACAGTACTTTTATATAAAAATCTTTTAGAACTCCAAAATGTTTTACTTGGCCCACCTTTTCCAAGAATTATCAGAGGGAGTGAATAGTTAACATTTATTGTGTGGGGCACTGAGTTGTGTTGCACATATATCAATTTGTTTAATCTTTGCACGGACCTTATGAAATAGGTCAGTGTTTTTCACATTTTTCTTTTGTTTGCAACCCATACTCATGTATTTTACATCATGATCCAGTAATAAGTCTCTTTATATATAATAAACAAAAGTTTTATGGATTAATATTTACAGTGCAATATACTTTAAATTTTCTCTTTTTTTCTTAAGTGTTGGTTTTGATTCACTAAACAATTCAAAATTCACTAGCAGATTGCAACTCTCATGAAAAATACTTAGGTGTGATACTTTATTGTCTCCATTTTACAGATGAGAAAGCTGACAGGTTAAGTAAACTGCCCAAGTGTCACAGCTACTATGTGGCAGAATTAGGATTTGAACAAGGAGCCTGGGTTTTAACTCAGTTTGCCCAACTGAATTATACAATATGGATAATTTCCAGAATAAATTGGACCTCAGGGTCATATCTGTCTTGTTTCTATTGTAGGGGCATAAAGGGTGTGATCCCTTTCCTCACTCCTTATAAGGGTCATGGCCAACACTCCTAAAACAAAATACGGGCTAACAAGAGAAAAGCATAACAGACTCATTTAATCAAAGTTTTACATGACACTGGAGCCTTCAGAAATGAAGACTCAAAGACCCAAGGGAGATCTGTCCATTTTTATACTTAGATTTGATGAAGAGTAGGCAACCCTGTGGAAATGTGCTTGGACAAATAGGGAATGGTCTAATGCTAAGAGACTGTGGGGAAAACCCAGCAAGGCCTGTTTGACTTGATTCTTCTTGACCTGTCTGTGTAGCATTCCTTCCTCCCACATATAGGGCAGGGCCCCTTCTGGAATGAGGGTCTTTTATGATCTACTTTCAGACAAGGTAGGTCAGAGAATTTCTTTATAGCCAGCTTTTACACAGCAAGTGGGGATAAGTTTAATATTTCTAGGTTTTATGGCTGGCTTTTGGGGAGAGGGGTTCCACTGTATGGCTGCCTTGGGAAAGAGGAATTTTAGTTTCTATGACCTTGGGGCAAAAGGGAGAACAGGAGAAAGAGTTAGAAAGACTTTGCTTCTGGGATTTTTCCAAGGTCCTTTAGTTTAAAGGGCTCTCAGCATGCCAAAACAACATACTTTGGGGTATTGTTTTCTGAGCACCAACACTGTGATAGGAAAAAAATTATTTAGCAAACAAGTGCCAACCTCAACCCTGTTCTCCCCATGCCAGGGAGATGATTTGCTCAGCATGAGACAAGGAGAGAGGCAGGGACCCTAAAGATCTGGGAGGGGTCTTCTGGACCATAAGGGGATTTTGAATATCAAGCAATTCTCTTGCCACAGCCTCCCAAAGTGCTAGGATTATATGAGTGAGCCACTGTGCCCAGCCTGGGATTTTTTTTTTATTAAATAACTTTGTGTGAATTTGAGGAAAAGCTCTTTGTTAGAAAAGCTCTTCTAACTCCAAAATTCTCGGTAAAATTACCCACTCATTGATATTTGAAATGTGGATTTGGTTTTGGTGACTTACTGAAGCCAGATCAGAACAGAGGCAGCTTCTAGGGTTAGCCACATCTGGGCAACACCTTAGTAAAAACAAAAAGTGCCACATATTGAGTAGATATTTGCCAGTTGCCTTCTGTGTTCAGATCACTGCCTTGGGTACAAGGGATACAAAGATGATTAAGACCCACCAAACACATTTTCTGTGACTATTGACCAGATTTCAAGAAAAGCATCCCATGGACCTCTGCTGTGGAAAGAAGCTCACATTATCATGGTCATTGATGTTCTTATAGACTTGAAGCTCCATGAGGGTGGATTCTGTCTTGTCTGCATTGTATCTCAGTTGCCTAGCATGGCACCTGGCACTCTCCAGCATCCAGTTTTCTATTATTGACAAATAGCCAAATAACTCCTGTAGTATTTAAGAGCTCAGGTCAGGGGGTTAAGTTATTTACATCTGCCTGCAAAAGTGTAAATAAAAATGTAATAGTTCATATGAAGAAACTGCTTTATCAAGTGATATCCACAAGCATAGTATGCTGTGTTTATCGAAATCAGTTTCTTTTGCTTCTGAATCAGTGATTTGCTTCTGAAAATGTTGACCAGCTATCTAGACCATCCCATTTTCTTTTCCACTGGACAGAGTGACATTTCAGTGCCTAATTCCTTAGCCCTAGGGAAGTAAAAGCAGAACAAGTCTGTCTTCTACTTTCATTCTTCCAAACCAGTAGATGTTAATCAAGCAGCCATGACTTGAAAGAAACCCTCTGCCTACCCTTAGAGGGACCAGTCCCTCCTTGCCTGTCAGAAAAGTGTGGCTTGGCTCAGTCGGCTCATACTTCCTGAGAGCCCAAGTGTAGACATCTGATATTACGTAGTGGGAGACAGAGAGGCTCAGAGGCAAATAGGTAGTCCAAGCAGAAAGTATATTTAAGACTAGAGGTTGCTTTTTCATAGGCAAGGGGGTAATAAGGGGGCTGGAGAGAAGGAAGATAAGTATTGTATATTTAGAGAGAGATAGGGTTTGGAAAGGAGGAAGAAATACTCATTTGCCTAAATTTCACCTCAAAATACAGAGTGAAGTAGTAGTCAAGAGGAGGAAATGTATAAGTAAGCATTGTACATGGCATTAGTTACCAGGTAGCAATATAAACAGTTATGTTATGTGGACATAACATAAGAAATCTACATAACATAAAAAATATACAGTTTATACTTTAATTGGAATAATAATTATTTTGCATTTGTAATGTGGAGCCTGATAATTTATGCACTTGCTATATCTGTAATCCTTATTTCCTTTAATTTGTTTTCCTTTTTAAATGATGTTTTCTTTGCTGTTTAGAAATCTTAGTAAGGAAGAAGTTACAGTCTCCCCCTGCTGGATAAGAATGGTAGAATCTGAAAATTTAGGTTACACACACACACACACACACACACACATATATATATGTATGTTTTCTAATCTTTTTATTATGTTAAAATATACATAACATGAAATTTATCATCTTAACCAGTATTAAGCGTACAGTTCAGTGGTATTAAGTATATTCATAATGTTGTACATTATGTAGTTACATAAGGACTCATTTACCTCAACTTTCAAATTCCAAATTTTCCTCCCCACAGCCTCGCTAAGCAGTCTTCTGATTACGCCTTTCCCATCTCCAAGCTCCTCTACATCCTCTTCCAGCAGTTACCAGCGCCGCTGGCTTCGAAGTCAGACAACAAGTCTGGAAAATGGCATCTTTCCAAGGAGGTGAGTTGCAAATTTCCTCTTTCTGAGAAAAGACCTTGTGTAATCAGCTTGGTGAAACTGGCAGGGCAGCTGTACTTGCCTGGTATCAATGGAAAAAGAGCTGAAATTTTTTTATTAGTTTCCGCTTAACCTGAAAGTTTACAAGTTTGAAGTTCTAAAGAAAGAATAAATAAAAGCTTTAAAAGAAGTCTTCTCATTTGGAAGACACTGAGAAATATCTGGGTGGTTGTGTTGTAATGAGCTAGATTTTGTGTCAATTTAAAATGAGTGTGCTCTTTTTAAATTGGATCCCTTTGAGATGTAGTTTTTGTAAGTAATGAAAACAGGGATAAATCTATTCCTTGGCTACAGTGAATACCAATGTGGTATTTGAAATATATGAAATCAAGGGTTTGTAACATTTTCTTTTTGTAAAACTTCTTAAGCTGGACAGACATGAATATGATGATACAGACAGCATCCAGGTATTTTCTGTTCTTCATTTCAGTTGGTTTTTGGATCTAAAATTTAGTTGTGTGCAAAATGTACATTTGATGTTACATCAGTAGCTTCCAACATCTTCTTCCTACAGCCCAAAAACTTAAAGGGGAGTTTTTATGTGTACCTATAAAAATCCACATGTCAATTAATTGACCTAGTAAATTGACTAGTAATTACCACACGTCATGATGTGTGAAGGTATAAACATTTTCATTTATGTGCCTGCACTTAAATACTTTACACACTGGTGGGGAAGATGGTATGTGCATATATAATGGTATAAGGCTGTTACATGATAAATGCCATGGGAGACACTAGTGCTGTGGGATTCCTAGGAGGTTGAAAACAGGGATGGTCACGGGGGAATTGGGAACCCTTTGTGGAAGAGACGGTACACGCTGAGAAACAAGGGATTGGGGCATGCGTGGAGCACACGTCGGGCTGCTTGCCTCTTCCCCTGTTCTGCTCACGATCCTCAGGAGCTGGACAGAAAGAAAAAACTATAGTTGCGTCACTCGCCGAGGAGCTGCTTTGTGGTTGGGAGAGTTCCAGTAGAATGATGAAGGGTTGGAATTTGTTGTGAAGACAGTCCCTAGCTCTGCCACTCGCTAGATGAATGGTGGAGCAAGTTAACCTGGATTCTAAGTGTTGCCTCCTCATGTGCAATGTGATGATAATATTGGTACAGCCTCAGCGTGTGGTTGGGCGGGTTAAATGAGTTGCAGCAAGTCCAGTGTTTAGCCAGGACACAGGATATGGTCAACATGGTCACAGGACACAAATACTGGTCAATCCAAATTAGCCACTGCTATGGTTGCTATCGTCATCATCACCATCACTGCCAACTGTCAGGAAAAGGCGCTATCACCATTCTCACAGTGTCTATGATTGGAAGAGTTGGGTCTTGGAAACCTTCCCCTTCAGACATCTTCTCTTTACTGAAAATGCCTTCGCATCCCTTCAGGTTTAAATCCAAAGTTGAATTGTGTTCCTCAACTCACTCCTCCAAAATTCTTCAATATTCTAATTTGAATTGAGACCTGACATTGGGAACTAATGACTCTCTAGTGAACTTATACCTAAAATAAGTATCTGATGTTCAGAAAGCCTGTGAGTACAGTTAGGGGCAGCTACATGATTTTTGGGACCAGTACACAATGAAGCTGTTTGAAGCTCTTGCCTAAAAAGCAAGAAAAGTACTATAAAAGACACTAAAAGGTAGTTTTTTTAAGAATATTTTACTTTTTTTTTTTTTTTTTGAGACAGAGTCTCACTTTGTTGTCCAGGCTAGAGTGAGTGCCGTGGCGTCAGCCTAGCTCACAGCAACCTCAAACTCCTGGGCTCAAGCGATCCTCCTGCCTCAGCCTCCCGAGTAGCTGGGACTACAGGCATGCGCCACCATGCCCGGCTAATTTTTTATATATATATCAGTTGGCCAATTAATTTCTTTCTATTTATAGTAGAGACGGGGTCTCGCTCTTGCTCAGGCTGGTTTTGAACTCCTGACCTTGAGCAATCCGCCCGCCTCGGCCTCCCAAGAGCTAGGATTACAGGCGTGAGCCACAGCGCCCGGCCTGAATATTTTACTTTTAAGATGTAATAGAGGTAATAGTGGTAGATGAATAATAACATAAACATATAAATTCCCAAAATAATATTTTTGGTGTCATAATTTTATATAACACAATAATATTTAATGTGATATCTTGGGTTATCATAAGATTTGTCTGGCTCACTGTTCTACAAGTTTACTTGTTAGGTCATCAATATTTATAGTTTTAGCAACTTGGCTTTCAGTCCACATAATTGAAAGTGTGATGTTGGTCACTCCTGGCAAATGTAAGGTGGCAAATAATTTTTGGTAATTTTTTACTTGGAGAAGATCTTTCTGCTGATATGATGTTACGTAGCTTTATGGGCTATGACAACATTGGGATAAATTTTCCAAATGTAAATTTTAGCACATCTAGATCAGATGATTCTTGTGGAACAATTTTTTAAAGATTTAGTTCTTCACACAGTTCCATTTCGTGAAAGTCTGAATTTAATTTTAGGTGTAAATTTATACAAGGTTATTTTAATGTTTCTTCTGACATTTCCTACAACTTGTAGAGATCTTACAAGAAATTAAAAATGTCCTTATGAGTTGTATATCATTCAAAATGCCTATTTATGCATTCTATCCCTGTGTCCTCAATTATGAGGAAAAATTAATTTTTAAATGTGATCTTCATTAATAAATTTGTTTCTCTGAAGCTTCATGTGTAAACAGTGGGAGTTTTTTGTCCAGTATGATAATCTTTACATTAAATTTCTATTTCTATGCCTGTGAATGTTTGCTTTGCAGTATTGCAGCAGTTTTCAAAACCAGAGATTATAAACTCTCTGGGGAATTCTAAGACCTCCTGATATGCTTTATTGCAATGTCTCTGTGTAGGCTTTTACTTTGTGATAATTTACCGTCCTGGGGCTCAGGTCAGAGAGTTAAATATTTGTGCAGACTCCATGGGGACAAGCTCCAGTGATGGATGGGCAAGCTGGCCTCTCACCATGGTTCCTGGAGCCGCCGGAGTCCCTCCTCTCCCCTCTCCCCCCCTCTCTCTCATCTCTCATGACCATGGCTGCTTCTGCTTTTGCCACTGTCACAGCCATCAGTCTGGGTCCAAGTCCCTGGTCTGTCTCAGACATGTGGGTGTCTGCCCAGCCGCCAGGCCGGTTGCTCAGTGTCTGGGTAACATGCCCTTGGTTCTGAGCCCACCCATGTACAAACTGCTGCCCAGTGTCTTCACTGCTTATGTGCATGTGTAGGGTGGAAAGGGTGTGATAACTTTCCTCCCCATCATAAGGGTCATAGCTGACATTCCTATAACAAAGTGGAGGTTAATAAGAGAAAAGCATAACAAATTTATTTAATCAAAGTTTTACACAAGATGAGAGCCTTCAGAAATAAAGACCAAAGACCTAGAGAAAACTATTTTTATGCTTAGGTTTGATGAAGAATGGACAGCCATGTGGAAATGTGATTGGACAAAAGGGTATGATCTAATAGTAATAGACTTAAGCAGAAAAAACCAGCAAGGCCTGTCTGTTCAGAATTCTTCTTTACCTCTCTGTGTAGCATTCCTTCCTCTCAGGTTTAGGGCAGGACCCCTTCTGGAATGAGGGTCTTGTGATTTACTTTCAGACAAGGTAGGTCAGAGAGTTTCTGTTTGCCCAGCTCTTATACAGAAAGCCAGGAGAAAGTTAGGACAATATTTTATGGCTGGCTTGGGGGAAAAGGAGTTCCAGTTTCTATGACCTGCCTTTGGGAAGAGGAATTCTACTTTCTGTGGCCTGCCTTAAGGGAGAGAGAGGAGCAGGAGAAAAAAGAGCAGGAGAGGGTCAGAAAAGTCTTGCTCCTGAGCCCCAACACATGCTTCATTGTCCCATGAGACTTTACATACAGCACACAAGTTCAGAGATAAAATCATGAAAAATCAACAGCAATCACAGAACATGAAACGAAGCCTGGGGTACTTCTGAGAGCAGGGCCCTACGTGAGCAGGGTCGCCAGTTCATGCAGCCAGCCCTTGATAGAGACTTGTTGACCACTGAGAATGTAAGTGCAGCAGACATTTTGAATTGATCACTGTGCCTGTGAAGATCCTTTCACTTAAAGGATGCTGCAGTTTGATCTCTCCCTTTTGGTAGGTATGTGGGTAGAAAAATTAATTTCTTATACTAGAGACAAGAGGACAATGGGTACCAAAAATTATGATTGCTTCTGGCTTTGAGAGAAAACACCCAGTGATTAAAAACATCCTTCCTAAGACAGTTAATGGTAGTCAGGGATGATATTCACACTTCTTGACAGTTGGCTATGTCAGCTATAAGCTTTGATTCCCTGGAGGGGAAAGGGGTTTGGGCATCTAACAGCTGGTACAGCAGTACTGTCTATAGGGAAAGAGAAGGCTCAGGGATTCCATCACTTAGTGAGGCTATTGAAACCCTAAAGGAGCAAGGTATAATGTCCCAGGAAAGTTTTTTGATTTGAATTATGCTGATGGGATGTTCTTTGACCTTCGAAGATGTCAAATTTCATATGGTTCAATGTAACTCATAGATTAGTGTTAAGTTCAAAGCTGATATAAACAACAATTAGACTAAGCAGTCCTGATATTAATTATGGATTATTGAGATGTACTTAAATAACCATAGTTTGGGGTTCAATTATTTGTGATTTTTGAAGTACTTAACGTATACATAAATGCTTATTCATATATATCAACAAATTCTATTTGATTTCTTTATAAGGGAAAAAAATTGTGTGTGTAGCTTGGAGTCTTTCCCTGACTCCAAGGCCTGTCAGCTGATCCAGTTGTATCCAGCTCCTTCCCCTCAGTGCCCCAGCTGGCGCGTGCAACGGGTAGCATGAGCACCAGCAGATGGATTGGGCATAGGGTCAGAGTCCCTGGTCATTTCCAGTGTCCCTGAAATGAGCCTGGACTAGGAGTTAGAAACCCTAGTTTCTAAGTCAGCATTGTGAAGCTTTCTGTTTTCGAGGCAAGTTGAATATGCACTCTGCCTTGGTCTCCACATTTGCAAAACAGCCTGTGTACTTTCCCTGATGACTCGGGTGTAAAGATATGACGAAGTATTTGAGCATACACTTAAATTTTGGAAACATTCTCAAACACCCTGTATTGTAGAAAAAATTTTAAAATAGAATCACCACACCACATGACCTGATCTATTCCAGATTCCGGGCTTGATCCAAGTCTATAGAATGAGGCACATTTGCTTTAGAATTCAGTAGAGGGATATAGTGCAAACAAGTAAGAATTATCCACTCTATTATAACTGTGGACATTTTTCAGAAATTCAGCAGGTGGCACTCTCTGCTATAGTAAAACCGATGAAAGATTTGGCTATTGTTTATAGGGCGGAGATGAAGATGATGAGTAAAGCTGCATAGGATTCAGTGTTTGTTACAGTTTGGTTATTAAAGATCAAGTTGGCCTGAAGATGAGTGGCCTGATATGGTCATTTTACTTCTGAAAAAGAAGGGAAGTAGGAGATGACGGACAAAGAAGAAAGGATTACAAGTCTTGTCATATAAGATCAGAAAAATTTCCTATACAGAAAAGAATAAACAGGGAAACTAGTACAGGGAAACAAGGTTTTAGTACAGGTATTTTAGAAAAGAAGAGGGAGCATTGTGTGAGATTGTGGGAAGCTCTGAGAAAGCATCAAGAATTTTTTCTGATGATTAGGATGTAGGGATTTCTCAGAGAGAACAGTTAATGCATTTACAACAGCACCATGTGCTGCCAGTGGCATGTCTGGAGTGAAAACCTTTTACTGATATATCAACCATATCTTCATCTCCAGGGGTGTGATTGAAGTTAAGGGAAATGGTAACATACAACTGTGATGTCTGTCTCCTTTTCTTTAAAAATAAAATAGCTTTCCTGACCATAAAGCATTTGATGTATCTATGTTTAATAAAATCTGGATATATTTGAAATCATAAGAACATTATAGACTGTAAGTAGAGCACTAAATAAGAAGTTTAAGACCAAGGGTAGAAGGCTAACTGCTCAAATTCTGCCCAATGTAAGAAATTATTATGTTGTTGTAATCTGCATTACCAAAAATGGAGGAAGCGGTTCCTTCCCATGTTTGGCAGAGATATGAAGCTAAATGGTGAAGTCAATGAGAAAGAGAAAATGTATTGCATACCTACTGTGTGCCAGGCTAGAGGCTTTCATTTGCAATATGTTATGTCCTTTGCCTTGGTGTCTTTGTGGAAAAAGAACAAAGTATTTCTTTTATTTTCACTCTTGCTCTTGGTAGCTGTGGGGTAGCTATACTGGCTTTTTGCAGTTAAGTAAGAGACATGGTTAGGCTATATTTATGAGGCTTACTCCTTAAGACAAATTGAATATGTATTTAGAATTTATTGGCTTCATGGCTCTTATCATAAAAGCAGAGTCTCTCAAAAGAGTCATAAGTTTTTAGGGAATTTGACTGTAACAGAAGAAAGGCGAGTCTTTCTGCTTGGGGGATTTCCCAGGGAGCTTGGTCAATCACATGGCTTAATCTGAGCTTTTAGAGGAGTAACTTCATCTAGTGGTTTTAATAGCCTTGGGAAACAAGCCTTGGAAGTACCAGTAAATATTCAAATACGATGCCTTTGTTAAACAGAATACCACATAGAATCCATTCCTCTTCTAACTTTATTCTATTGGTATCTAGCAACCAAGATAAAGGACCTATATTTTGAACCAACAGATATTTCACACTCCTTCCTAAATACCGTCAATCTGCTATAAAAATGATCCAGGGAAAAGGACAAGAGTCTCATAAAGGGACGTTTAAATTACTTTTCGTTTTCATTTGAGTTTCTTTTCACATTAGGATAATACTGTGTGGCGAGCTATTCTTCTCAATTTTCATGACAGGGAACCACAGAGAATGAATTAGAGGTAGACGCACTCCTAGTTAAGACTGTTCTGAATCAGCTTTCTGAATGCCGTCCCTGGGCATCAGTTCGTCTTCAGTGTGTGTCACTGATGCATGGCAACTTTTCAAACTCCTTTTTCTTCCAGGTCAACTGATGAGACATTCAGCTTGGCTGAAGAAAGCTGTAGTTCTAATCCAGCCATGGTTAGGAGGAAGAAAATTGCCATAAGCATCATCTTTTCCTTGTGTGAGAAAGAAGAGGCACAAAAGAATTTCCAGGACTTCTTTTTTTCTCACTTTCCCCTGTTTGAATCTCACATGAACAGGCTGAAGAGTGCAATTGAAAAGGTAATAAGAATGTAATCCAATATCAAATAAGCAATTACGGGGCTTTAAAGATGATAGAATCACTTGTTTATGTATCAGATCTCTTTCCTAAAGAAGTTAAATCACCCACAGCAGTGATAGATCCTTAGGTTTTGTTGTTAGTTACCAGACACTGGATTGCTGGAGGGAAGGAAATTACTGCTTTTTCATGACTGAAGGCATTATTGAGTGTTTCTAATTGATTATAATATTATCTTTCATTAAAAATCCCCATAGATATGTTATAAAATTTCTTCTCAGTAATTTGGCTTGCTTTCTCTTCAATGAAGGCCATGATCTCCTGCAGGAAAATAGCAGAATCAAGCCTCCGTGTCCAGTTTTATGTCAGCCGTCTGATGGAAGCTCTGGGGGAATTCAGGTAAAATGGCAAAGTTTGGCAAGTCCAACAAGGGATATTTATGAGCAGTAGTAGCAACAGCAGCCATGGATCTCCCAAGGTGCAGAGAGACCTGCACCTTGGGAGAACTGGGAGACTGGCAATTATTAGTTTCTTTAGCAGCTTCACCCTTCAAGATGGACTCTGAGACCAAATAGAGCAAAAAATTTAAGTAACCCACCACTGAGTAATCCTCACTACTGCCCGATGGACAGTTTTTCACATGACTGTTTTAACAGGGTGAATGGAGAAAGCTAATATTCAGGTGTCTTTTATCAGTCTGTTCATTGTCTCATGTCATCCTCCCAGAAGCCCTATGGTAAGCACTATTAACCCCATTTTACAGATGTGAACACTTGAGTTCAGAGATGCTTATCCCCAAAGCATAGATGGAGGGAGTATCCATGTAAGGGAGACATACAGTCCAGTTTGCCAGAAAGGTCCTAGTTTATACCCAGTGTCCTCTCATAAGTGTCCTGGTCTGGGCATTAAATTATATGGGCACATTAGTGTGTCTTCGTAGTTAATTTCTAACTGATGATCTTTGTACTCTGGAAATTGCTTTTCTAGAGTCCTTGCACCTAATGTCTGGGTGGAAAGGTACACTGCTTTGCGTAGCAGGTGGGATTCTGTCCCGTCATGCTGAGTTGAGATTGTTGCACCATTTCCTCAAGCCAATATCTCGATGGGGAATGGAGTTCCACTCCAAAGCAGTCATGAGCTAATGAGCCAAACTCTTACTCCATAGCTGGAGGATAAAAATATTTTACAGTTCCTAGAATATTAACCCTTTGCACTTGATGTCAAGTGTGGATAATGTCGAGTGGATAATGAGAAAAAAGCAAGCGAGTGCAAAGGGTTAAAACATTTTATGATGCTTAAAGTATATGCTGGTGACCTCTATAATGCTACCTGGAACAAAATCACCAGCCTTTATGAACTCTGGGTTATTCATAAAAAACTCCAGTAACACATTAGTCATTATCTGGTGACTGTTAAAACTTAAGTCACGTATGGTAGAAAGCATGTGAGGTTATGCTTTTTTATGGCAATCTGATATTAGTAAACCTTCCATAGTTTGTGTGGACATCACTGGTTTTGCCTGTTGCTCACTGTGGTCAGACAAGATGCTGGCTTGTGCTCAAGACTCTACATACTACTTTCATGAAAGTGTCCATTTTTCAGGCATCAAGAAACTGAAAGTACAGAACCAAAAAACCTCACTGTGTACCTAGGTCTTGTTCGTACTTCAACAATCAAACCCTTCAGAAATGGTGACAGAATAAAGTGTTAGCCTTTGGAGACTTTAGTTTTAGTAAATGAATTCCAGTGACCCGTAACTGTTGCCATTGCCACCTAACTCAGCAGATGCTTTGTTTTTTGTCAAGGTAGAATTCTGTTGTGTCCCAATTCTTTCCTATACACAGTTAGAATGTCAAGTCAGAATATGTATCATCTATCTTGATTTAGGAATAGTGGGTGTGGTTTTTTTTTTTTTTTTCGATTAATATGTTAAGATATGTGGGTGTGTTTTAAATGCAGAGATACAGTGGCCTTTTAAGTGGACATCCTAAGCCAAGTTAGTATGCTCCCTGCAAAAGCATTTGTGAGGCATATAACTTAGAGTCCTCTGTGCCAGGTATTGAGAACTGAATTCTCACCTTGACCTTGTCATTAAATATTTGTATGTCTCGTGCAGGTAACCCAATCTCTCTAGGCCTTCATGTAAAACTTAGTATATCATGAAATAAACAAGAGCCATTTGTGTGGTTTTTTTCATCTAAAACGAATAGGGTTCTTTGGCATAGTGAACCCCAAAGCATTAACCAGAAATTGGGAGAGTTGAGTCACCCCTGGTCACATTTTCAATATAGCATATACTTTCTTTCTCTCTTTATTCGTTTACTATAAAAATGGTTGTAAATTCTGACACAAGCATTATGAAAATAAATTGTTTTTAAAATGGATATTTTATGTCAGTGGTTGGCATACTTTTCTGTATAGAGTCTCTTGGAGCAACTCAACTTTGCCTTTTTCCTGCAAAACAGCCACAGACAATATGTAAACAAATGAGCATGACTGTGTCCTAATAAAACTTTGTTCATAAAAAGTAGCAGACAGATTTTGCCCTGTGGGCCATAGTTTGCAACCCCTGTTATGTATGAAGCTTGAATCACTTAAGGACTATATAGATCCAAATTATTGTTTTCTCCTTTGTTCTTTTATACCAAGGTTATCCAAAATAATATTTGTAACAGTTTTGTGTATCCCTTTTTTTTCTCTTCCATAGAGGGACTATCTGGAACTTATATTCTGTTCCAAGGATAGCAGAACCTGTATGGCTTACCATGATGTCTAGCACTTTGGAAAAAACCCAGCTTTGCCAGCGCTTTCTCAAGGAGTTTACACTTCTAATAGAACAGATCAACAAAAACCAGTAAGCTTTAAGTCTCTGAAGGCTTATATGCCAATTTCATAGCTCATGGACGTGCTATATAGGGTATGCTTCTTCCTGCACTGAGTAATCTGGTCGTGTTTTCTTCCATTTCCCCAAGGTTTTTTGCTGCCTTATTGACTGCAGTGTTAACCTACCACCTGGCCTGGGTACCAACTGTCATGCCTGTGGACCACCCTCCCATTAAAGCCTTCTCGGAGAAACGCACCTCTCAGTCAGTGAACATGCTGGCCAAAACACATCCATATAATCCACTCTGGGCGCAGCTGGGTGAGTACCTAATTTGACTATTCAGAGAATATATGGGATTGAATAGGAAAAGTCCTAGAATTTATAGTTTATGCTGGCTGTCCAACCCAGTGATTCATGAGTTGTCCCTGCTTGTCATGGGCAGGCAAGGAATAGACGTTTGGCCCACAGATTCTAACTGTGAGGCTACCACCTTCCCCTACTAGCAGCTTTATTCTACCTTCTTAAAACAGCTTCGGTAAACTGTGTTCTCCCATTCTACAGTGGCTGTTTACCCTAGAGCAGAGTTTCTTAACCTTGGCACTGTTGACATTTTGGATCAGTTGAGTTGTGGGGGGAAGGGGCAGAGCTGTCGTATACATTATCTGATGTTTAGCAGCTTCTAGTCACTAGATGCCGGTAGAACTCCCTCCTTGCCTGAAGTTGTACTAATCAAAAATGTCTGTGGATATTGTTAGCTGTTGGGGGTGAGGCTGGGGTTGTTATTGGGAAAACAACACTTGGTTGAGAGCCACTGCCTTGGTTGATGGAGTGGATTGGGGGGAAAAAATGAGAAAAAAGGAAGGTAACACACCCTGATCTCACCACCTTTTAAGTTTTAGTGTAAGTCAGAAATCTTGTCTTTCTTTACACTGCTTCCTTGCAATTAGTGATGGCATTTATTTCCTCAATTTGTACTTAGGCTTGATATAGGAATCCAGTACTTTGGCATAGTTTGGGGCTAGTGAGACTGGAGTTGCATATCTGGGTTCGTGTGGAGGAGAAGTATACTCTGGGGCCTCTCACTCACCCCATCGAGACAGGGTCTGAACAGACGCTGGGCTGCAGAGCTGAGTAGCGTGCGCTGCCTAGCCTCGGCCAGCTGGCTACACAAGAAAGGAGCAGATTTGTGATCTCTTGATTTCAGAGCATCCTGATACTCCTTTGACAGGGGTGTCCAGGAGGACAAGAGAGAGATAGAAGGCATAGAGGTGAGGCACATGGGGCTGGGGCCTAGTGGCAGGGCCCAGTCTCTGTGGGCAGGTTGCTCTGTTTCTCCAGTACCTGTTGCCTCACCTGTGAAATGTGTGATGATGGAACTTACCTCATGGTTGCTGTGGGAATTAAGTCAGTGAAACAAAGCACCTTTGTTTTGGTTGCTGATGCTGCAAACACTATTTTAGGGGCAGCTGGAGAGACAGTGAGGGGATGGAGGGGCTTTTCAGGAAGGCTTACTTGAGAAAATGTTAAAATGCATTTTCTAGAAAATGAAGTGGAGGGAAAGCACTCTAGTCTTAGAAAATTAGAATAATAATAATGAAAGCTGACACTATGAGCTACATGCTGTCTTAAGTGCTTTTTACACATATAGATTAGATTCTCCTTCCTCGTCTATAAATGTTGTCCTCATTTTATAGCAATACAGATGTTGTCTTGCCCATGTGCCCTTGGTCGTGAGACGTGTAAGGAAGAGAGTTCGAGTCTCATGGTTTGGGGATAATAGGTGTGTTTTAAATGAATTAAAGATTTATGGATGTTAAAAATGGACTCAAAAGGAGGGTGATAGGGAGAAGTTGCCTCCCATCCAAAATTACAGCTAGATAGGAGGAATAAGTTCTGGTGTTCTACAGAACTATAGGATGACTATAGTTAATAATTCTGTATTTTCAAGTATTAATAGCTATAAGAGAGGATTTTGAATGTTCCTAGCACAAAGAAATAATGAGTGTTTGAGGTGATGGATATGCTCATTACTCTGATTTGATCATTACACATTGTATATAGGTATTGTAATATCATACTGTACCCTGTAAATATGTACAGTTATTACATGTCAATTAAAAAAAATTTTTAATAGACAATACAAACGATCAACACTGAACTCAGATAAGAACACAGAACATGGCCTGACTCACTCTGGGTCATGTGAGGAGTCCTTCCTGGGGAGGACAAAATATGGTTGTTTTTGTTATGGGACAATAACCTTGGGGAAAAATGTAGCGTCATCAAGTGGTAAAGGGAAGGGGATATTAAGGAAACATGGTGTTTCATGCTGCTGGGTCACCCATTTAAAAACAATGCTAATTAAGCAGTGTGCATTAAGTTAGATAAATGTATTTATAATTAGGCATGCTTCTCATTTGAAATTTAACCTAATTGAGAGCCATTAATTCCCTGTGTTCATTATAGCAAGGCAGAATCCCCTTCCTGTGGGTTCACAATTGTCATTTTTCGGAAGAGATGGTGTATTGTTTAAGTCTTCAATCCTCTCTTCCCCACGCAAGGCAGCAGGGATCTGGGTGTTGACAAGAGAGGTTTTAGGGGAGGGGACAAGGCCCAAGGCAGAGAAGGCATGGGGCAGCTTTGTAAGCGTAAGTGTTGGTTGAGTTTCTGTTATTACAAATATCAAGGGGCTTCAATAATTTCACAGAGAAAGAACTTGCCTCCAAAAATTTTTTCATTAAGTATTTAGCAAGTCACGGTAAATAATAAGCTGCTGGGAACATACAATGATGCAGGTGTAATTTTAATCCAGGTTCCTAAGTGATAAAAAAGATTCTGTCTTGAATTAGTTCACAGACTTACCTGGGAGCTTGCCAGGACAGGGACCAGTCCAGCACCCATTCTCTGTGGCTTCTCAGCGTTCCCAGGGGCGGGAAAGGAGAGGCTGGGAGCAATGATCCCTTCCACACTCTCACCGACTTGCTGCTCAGGAGCTTAGCCGCCTTGCCTGTGCCTAGGATGTGTGCTCTATGCGAGTGTTTTCCCATTCGTGGGCTGTGGAAGCAATTTAATGGGTCAAAAAGCATTTAAAAGGTATAATAGAATAGAAAATATCAGAGCAACTTACATGTATGTTTTGTAAAATGGTTGTTTCCAAGGGTGTGTGAGGTTGCGGTATAAGATGTATTTCTTTTTTGGTGTGGGTGTACAGAGTTTGGAGGCCACTGTCTTACACCACAAATTGAAGGAGTTCCATGTTGGTCTCTTTTTGACCTAATGATCTCAAGAGTTTGAGGAAATGAAAAGCAGCTTTTCTTCTCAGATCGCTGGTTTAAATTTATATAAGTAAAATCTGAAATTTCTTCATTTTATTCCCAAAAGTATAAATGGTATTTTTCAAAATACAGTAGAATTAGACTGTAAATCAATTTTTTAAAAAAGAAAGAAAATTCTCAACTGCTCAGAGATGAAACAACCACATTTTAATAACCCACAAGTCAGACAGATTTCGCAAGAAAAATTAGAAAATATCTTGCACTAATGATGATGATAAAGACATAGTAAGTCAAAATGTGTAGGGTGTAGGGAAATGCTCTTTAAAGGGAAATTCCCTGGCATAGACATTTCTAGAATGTGACTGTGAATAAGAGTCCCTTTAAGGTCCTTAGTTTTTCCTGTCATCTCCTTTTTTATTTTTTCTCAGCTTCTACCAGTTTCTGCTTGGGTTTCTGTCTCTATATTCCCCTACCTCTACCCTCTCTCTTTTTACCATCCCCTCTTTACAGGGCTCCTCAGTTCCCTCAGCTTCTCCACCTCATTCCTTTTTCCTCTTTCTAGTTCCTGTTTCTATCTTTTTGCTGTTTCCCTAGACATTTTTTTTTTCTTTTCCAATGTGTGCTTTATCCTCTTTGATGTTCTCACCTCCCCTTCTCTACCCTATTTTCCTTCTCTCTGGTCCTCTATCACTTTGCACCTCTCTAATGTCCCTTCTTTTTTCTTTCTCCTTTCCCATCCTTACCCTTCTCTATATTATTCCCTCCTTTCCTCTCTCTGTGCCGCTGCTCCCTGTCTTCCCTCCCTTGGTCTCCACTGTCTACTTTATTTATCCTCCTCTCCTTTGATCTCTCCTCCCATCCCGGCCAACATCCCTTCCAGCTTCCGTGCTCTCTCTGTCTCCTGCAAGCACCCTTTCACTTTTTTCCTCTTCTTTTATCCCCTTTGCCTCTCTCTTTTACATTAAAATTTTTATTTTTAATTGAGGTAACAAATATAACAAAGTTCATCATCATAACCATTTCTAAGCATACAGTTCAGTGGTGTTAAGGATATTCACATTGTTGTGCTACCTCTTCTTCATTTTAAAAAATTATACTCATGAAAACAAAGGAATCTACTCTAAAAATTGGTAGCCTCCTTAATCCAGGATTCAAAAAATTGCCTGAAGTTCAGGATCCAGTAAATCTTTAATATTATGGGTCTGTTATTGTAATGATGCATTATTTTATGATGATTGGCTATAAAGTAATAATGCTGGTACACACATTGCTCTCATTACTTTATAGAGTTTAAATTATCATAAGTTGTATTTTTAATAACCTTACTTGTTTTACTTTTTTCCATTTAGTTATTAAAATGTGCAATACTAGAAGTTAAATGCATTGCTAGAAAATGTCATTCTGCGTGGCCTTTCCCCTGTGGTTTGGTATAGCAGATTTCAGAAATGTAATGCTTTTTCTCTATTAACATTGAAATTGATTTAACAGAAATGTCCTACGAATTCCTGAAAAGACTGTGATGCCCTGCAGCAATGGGCAGATGTGAGCAAAGAAAGTAACAGTAATAAGCTCTTAGTTAAGAAAGTTTTCTCAAACAAAAGTCCTACTATATTTCAGACTATATTTCTGAGTTACTCTTCTGAATTCTAGGAGGATTTCTCAGTCAGTTGCAAAAGCTGCAAAGTTAAGTTCTATTGGCTGATAATCTAGTCTTTTTATAGAGAGGACTGTTGATTATTATTTCTGTCCTTCCTTTTGAATGTTCTTAGAAGCCCTACCCTAGGGAACACTCTCCAGAGGAGGTACTTCCTGATGTGTCCCCAAGGGCACATACTTCCTGGTGGTTCTCATAACTTTTTTCCATCTTTATTAATTTTCATTAGTTTAATCTAGTATATGCCTTTCTAATGCCTTCCCCCCTCCTCTAGATGCATTCCTCAGATGAGCTCTAACTTCCTAAGTTCTTATTTATAACTGTTAATACTACCATGTGTCGTGTCTCCTTTATTTAGTATCTTTTCAGCTTTTGATTTGTTCCAGCATTATGGTTATTTCTTTAATGGTTTCTAACTCCAGGTTGGTTATACAGAGATACAGTAAGATAAACCTTTAGGCGTTTAGCGTAGTGCCTATCCAATGAGTAAATACTGGCTCTTTATTATAATTGTCCATATCATTATTACCAATAAAGTATCAAATATATAACTAATTATCCAATGTAATAATTAAGTTATCAAATGCAATCATTTTAATAGTTAACTGAAATATTTTTGAAGAGAAGCTCCTAACTGCTGGGTGGCTGGATGACACACTTGCCCTTATTCTTCCATCCTTAAGCGGGATGTAGACCTGTGGTGCATTAGCCAATTTTTAATCAACTTGTCAGGATATAACTAATGGGACATATTTTTTTCCGGCAGAACTTTTATGTGAAATAAAATAAAACCTTCAGGCTCATTAATCATGACTAAGTGATTTTCTTCTTGTTAGTCAAACTGATTCTACCCGATGTGTGTACGTGTAGTGAGAGGAATCTAAGCAGACCACCTCATGAAGTATTTTGAATTTATTCACTGCACTTCTGTTCAGAAATCCTTGAATTTGGATTTCATCCCCAGGGCCATTGTCCTGGGGTTCTTCTAACAAATTCTTCCACATTTTTAGAGATTCAGCATTGGATCTGGCCATACTCAGAGCTCGGGCTCTGCCCTTGCTCTGGCAAGCCACTGGCTCAGTGTGCTACATGGGAAGACCCAACAAGCACGGTGTCCACAATAGCCCAGCTCTGTGCACCAAGGGTGGTGGGCTGCAGCCTGCGTCAGGGCTTTCCAGGCTGACTCTCCATTACAGGCAAAACTAAAACATGGTCATTGCTAGAAATTAGAAATCAGGTGTCTGAAGAAATGATTCTAGGTTGGGAATCTGTTTTGCTCTTGTAAAGGCTGGCATATCTGTGACATGCTAACCCCAGAGGACTTTGTCTTGTGTCCACTTTTGCTCTCTAGGTGATCTTTATGGAGCCATAGGCTCTCCAGTGAGACTGACTCGCACCGTGGTGGTAGGGAAGCAGAAGGATTTGGTCCAGCGCATACTTTATGTCCTCACATACTTTCTCCGTTGCTCTGAGCTGCAAGAGAACCAGCTGACCTGGAGTGGGAATCACAGTGAAGGTGACCAGGTTTTAAATGGGAGCAAGATTGTAACAGCCTTGGAGAAAGGAGAAGTGGAGGAGTCTGAGTATGTGGTAGTTACGGTGAGAAATGAGCCTGCTCTCGTACCCCCCATCCTACCGCTGACGACGGCCGAGAGAAAGAACCTCCAGCATGCAGGGTTACCTGAGACCCCAGAGGGCACTGACATCAGAGACCTGGGTCCCAAACCTGACAGAGAAGGAAACAAGAGGTCAGAGCAGAGTTCTGAGGCTTGTAGCATGGGATTCCCAGAGGCAGCATTAGACAGTTCTTGGAAACTTCAGGACGCATTTTGTGGGGATGAAGAAAGTATAAAAGAGGCACCACAAGATGACTGCTCAAGATTTTCCAGCTGCGAAGGTCTGGCGACAGGAATGAAGATCCACCAACAAACTGCCAGTGAGCAGTCGAAAGGGGAAATGTCTGGTAGGAAACTACCAGACCAGTCAGCGGCCTGGCCATGCCCCGACAGACATTTCCGTGAGAAGCCTCCTTTAGAAAAGGTCACTTTCCAAATCGGAAGCTCCGCGTCTCCAGAGTCTGACTTTGAGAGCCGCACCAAAAAAATGGAGGAGCGGCTAAGGGCCTGCAGACAATGTCCAGAGTCAGCCGGTCCCTCGGCCGAGCCCAGGGCGGCCACTGACGTGGCTCAGGACCCGCGGGTTTCTAGGTGCTTCTTCAAACCTGGCTTTCAAAAGAAGGTCTGCTGTCCTCAGAGTCAGTCTTCCAAGGGGGATGAAGGTGAGTCTGACAGGGGCTTTGCTGAGGACAGAGGCATCAGAACCCACACCACGACAGGTGCTGCTGGGCCACTCAGCCACGCCACTGACTCGGGCGCAGCTGCCGGCGCCCCAGCAGGAACCAGGAGGGGGATGCTGGAGGAAATGCACGGTTTGTATCTGAAGGCTGCGGAAGGACCTCTGTTAGAGCCTGTTGCAGACAGGTGTGTCCAGCAGGACTCTGGCCTCTCAGTTGCTGCAGATGTCCCCTGTGGGGACGACGGCAAGAAGGCCGACTTCAGAATCGAAGGAGACATTCCCAGGAACGAAAGCTCCGATAGCGCTCTTGGCGACAGTGACGACGAAGCGTGTGCTTCAGCCACACCAGATGCAGGTCACGGTGATGACAGAGCCGGAGGGTGCTTGGAAGTGGAGCTGCCCCTGCCAAGGTAATGCTAGCAGGCCGGAAGCAGAGGGAACTGAGTTCAGACACTGTCTTCCTGGCCTGACACCCGTGATCACGTTAGCTACTGTTGGGTGCTTGACACACAATGCGTTGTTTTCTCAAAAGTATTAGAAGTGTTACCAAATCAGGATGGGCAGTTTCCAGCCCGTCCCTCATCCAAGGATGATCACTGGCTTAGTTCGACCGAGCTCACTGATGAAGAAGGCCAGTGGTTGTCTCTGCAGCACCATGACATTGTGGAGAAGCTCAGGGATGTGGTAGAGGTGGTGGCGGGGAACAAGGAGGTTAATTTTCTGTCATCTGTAGGGACGTTGTACGGCTGGCAGCAGATGCCTGGCTTCGGAGGTGGTGGGTAGCGCTCGCCGTGTGGCCTCGCTCCTGCCGATCAGAACAGCATGAGGTGGCTGGGAAACAACACCTCTTCCTTAACACTCCATCAGGTTGATTATTTGGTCTGTGATGACTGAAAGCAGTAATTAGAGATTTCTTCTGTTCTTCTGCACCGTCATGGGCACCACCCTGTGCAGATATGTCAAATTCCTAAAGCCAGACTTTTGACAAGAGCCCTGCCTCAGGTTTTTTTCTATCTTCACTCTTTTGATACAAACTGCCTGGTGAGTGTTTGATATGAGGTATAAGAAAAAAACTCATAACCAGCCATGGAAATATAATACTTTACTTTTCTGGCCTTTTATTTAAAAAAAAACAAAAACAAAAAAACCCTCCTTTTTCTTTCCCCACCTCTTCCTGTTCTCACACCAATGATCCACTTACTGGAGGACTGGTGAAGCAGGACACGCTGAATCTATTTTATTTACCTGTCATCAGGGCTTTTGTTCCATTTGTAATAAAAGAAGGAAGTACATTTTCAACTGTGTATTTTAATGGGCCAAATGTTGTTTCAGGTCTCAGAGCATCAGCACCCAGAATGTAAGAAACTTTGGCCGCTCACTCCTGGCAGGTTATTGCCCCACATACATGCCTGATCTCGTGCTTCATGGGACCAGCAGTGACGAGAAGCTGAAGCAGTGCCTGCTGGCCGACCTGGTCCACACAGTTCATGTGAGTGATCCCAGCTTGGAGCCCCTGGCTGCTAACAGTGTGTCAGCCGAGGTCTTGGCCAACAAGGAGGTGTTTAGACTGAAGACAACTAATTAAGGGGTTGTTTACGGAGATGTGGGCAGGGTTATGGAAACAGCAAGGACTAGTGAAGCACCCAGGGCCTCTCAGCGTAGCTGCAGGAGATGGGAGGAGGGGATGACTTCCTGCCGTCTCTCCTCTCATCTTCCCATCTCCTCGGGTGCCTCCCATTGGCTGAGCTCAGCTGGAAGCCACAGAGCAAGGTCACAGCTGATGCAGATACGGTCCTGTGGTCCATCGGGGTCAGCCTCTTGGGGCCCATAACAGGACAGAGAAGGGCAAAGCCTGGCTCTGGGGGCGGTTGGGAGGCAGGTAGGTCAGCAAATGGAATAAACAGCACAGATGGTGACAATTATATGCCATCATGGGGAGGACCAAAGCGATGTCACATATGGTTTGCTTTTTATCTGATTGTTAAACAAGTTCCTAAAAGTAATTTATTTTAACTGATTTGTCATTAAGTTCACTTTGATGGCTGCATGAGGATGACTGTATAAAGATTAACAAGACTTACTGGAAAATTGCCTTGTAGCTGCCGTTAAGTGCTTTTCTGCTATCTGCAGCGTGACAAGAACTGAGAAGTTAAGGCAACTGTGTCAGCCTGATGGGCCTATTTTTAATCGAGTTGCTACTGGGCAGATGTGCAAAAATAAATGTTTTGCATTAGAAACATACTGTATCTTGTGCAGTAGAGAAAATCCTTATTACATTAAGAGAATTGGAGTTTGGCTTATTACCTGTTTCCTCACCCACCAAGTATTTTTTTCTAGGTGGAACAGAAGGGATTGCATGTTATCTTTGGGCTGAGTGTGTCCTCTGTGAAGACTGAACATGCATCAGACACAGACTAAACAGGCTAAGGGTTTTGTGTGGAATGGGAAGAAAAGCTCAGTAGTGAAGCTGATGTCCTCCTAACCCCCCTCAGTGGGGAGGGTGAAGACATGAGCAGTGAGGCCAGACATTCCTAACTCCACCCTGCTCTGTGGGTCGACACCACCCTCACTGGGATATCCCTGGAATGAAGCTGTGACATTGCTTTTGTCTCTACACGTAATATAATTTATTTTCATAGTTATAATGAACACTATATACTCATTTATCATTCCACGGGTCTGTACATCAATGACCCTGGGATAAGAATAATGCCATCATTGCATGGTGTCATCTTTTTGGTTTGTCCTAAGCACTATATGATGCCTCCGTGATTTTATGGACTGTATATGCCTAGTAGCTGGGTGTAGCGTTAGGCAGGGAAGTAGAAGACTTCATTTTCTTTTCTGTCAGCACCTTAACGTTTATATAAACCACATATGCAAAACCTGTTGGGGTTTTCTTTCTGCTCTGCTGTCATTTTGCCACTAAGAACATTGGTGTTCACTGGACCTTTCTTCCATGAAGCCCAGTGTTCTGCTTCTGACAGAGGCACCAAGAGGCTTTGTGTGAACTAATGGGATTGTCCTCAGTGACATCAATCTTAGCAGCTGGGGGATTTTTGTCCTAATGCCCTATATTCACTCACTGACCACTGTGGAAATATAGTCCATTGATTGATAAACCCTCTTTGAACTTATCTGTAGAATCATTCTTGAAATTTTTTATGTTTCCCATAGGCTGGCAAGTTCTAATTTTTATATATTAGATTTTCATGGTGACCATCTGGCTCTATAATTCTTATATTTGAAAAAACATAACCATATTTACTCTGTCATTACTCTTCAAGCTTTTTAATATGTCATTTTCTCTTGCTTTCAGAAGTAGTGTTTTCACACTGTAGCTTTTCTCATTTCTTCAAACTATGTAATCACCCTGAGAGATCGAAAGTTATTAAGCGTAATAACCTATATTGTGTCAAATTGCAGATATATCCAAAGTGCAGCCATGCGTGGGTGTTAATAGGAAATTGCAAACGGTTCATAAAAATATCTTCAGAAGTTTAATACATTCAGAATATATCCAATTAGCATTAGTGGATTTCTAATTTCACTTGACACATTCATCATAATGAATTTTGCTTTTGAAGTAGTGTCCCATTTAAACTGCCTCTCAGACTGGCACTCTGGTCTATGGCAGTGGTTTTTGTTTGTTTTTAAACAGCCTTACTTTCAATATCTATTTACAAATATTTGTTGAAAAATAAGTTGAGCATTTTATTAAATGTTATATTGAATTTACTGTTCCATACCAGCCTAGTGATTATTTGAATTTTTGAGTATGTTGTCAAAAAAAGAAACAAAGATCCAAGAACAAGTATATGACCAGAGTTAGAGCTATAATAATGACTTATTGAGGAAGAGAAAATTGGAATAAATTGTTTTATCAGTGTTCATGATAGACTTCATTGGACTTTGATATTCATAATTCTTTTTAGAGAAAGATTTTTAACAACTGTTTAAAAGCAATTGATTTAGGTTATTGATCTATTTTTTAGACCTATGCATGATTTGGATTGTAAAATCTGTCTTATGTACATGTGCACTATTTTTTTTAAGAGATAAGACCTCACTGTGTTATCCAGGCTGGACTTGAACTCCTGGGCTCAAGTGATACTCCCATCTCAGCCTTCCTAGTAGCTGGGACTAGAGGCACACACCACTGCACCTGGCTGTATATGTGCACTTTTTATAACTGCAGTGGACTAGTTTGGAGTTTTTCTCTCATTGAGGGATTTCTAGAGCTTCCATTACTAAGAATTTCTTTTTGTACTTTTTCTTATCCTAGTCTCCTGTGAAAGAAAGAATATTAACTTTATTTCATCTATTTTCATTTTTATTATTGACTTTCACATGTTAAGATTCAGAAGTTCTTTAAATATTTAAACACATGTTCTTGTTTAGTTCATGTACTACCTCTTTTCTGTCATTTGAACTCTGTCCCCTAACATAGAGGTTATACAGCTGCCTTAAATTAGGGTAAAGTAATATTGTTTCATTTTTTTTCCTGCCACATCTAAATGTGCATTCTTTCCTCTGTTTATCTTTTGAATTTAAACGGAGGGTGGGGGCGTGCCAGCAGCACTCTGTGCCTGTGCCTCCCGAGTAGCCTTTTCCCTCTCCTGGTTCCCCTGGGGGTCCTGTCTCTCTGTGAATTCTGCTGATATGGGCGATGTGGGGTCATTAAATTATGCAGCAGTGTAAGGTGGCGGAAGAGCACCGACTTAGCATTGATGGCTTGAGTTTGAGTACTGGCATTATCACTCATTTGCTGATCATCTTACTTAAATCAACTGGCATCGCTAAGCCTCAGACAAATGTATTTAGAAGAACAGACAAAATATAATTCAGTGATTAGGAGTTTAACCTCTGAAGACAGACAAACTGGAGTTTGAATCATGGCTCACCCCTTAGGAGCTTTGTGGCCTTGGGCAAGTTTCCTTAATCTTCTAATTTGGACAATGAACAATACCTGCATCATAGGTTTGGTTTGAAGATTCTGTGAGATAATGCGCTGTCAAGTGTTTAGCACAGTGCCTGGCCCGTTACCAGCAATACTAACATCAGGTGGGCATTACTAATACCCAATAAATGTTAGCTATTCAAAATACACATGAAAGTGCTTTGTAAATGATAAAGCAAAAGAACATGTTTTTAATATGGGAGAACAGAATGGCAACCATTATTGTAGTGAAAATGAAAATTACTATTAGAGTTAAGAAAGTTATATGCAAATGTACTTAAAGTTCTCCTAACTAGTCAATGGCCTTTTCAGTCTTAGGGCACTCCTGTTGGAGATGACTGAACAGAACCCGTGCACACATTCATTCAGTGCTCACAGCATCATTTTCACGTTGCCTGGAGCAGACCAGGCAACTCTAACTCTGCTGGGTACGGTCATCAAGACCAAAATTAGCATCACGTTTTAATGGTCTTGTTTTTTACAAACCTTTGCTCCAGGGCTTCAGGCGTTTTACAGAGTAGTATGTAAAATGAATTAACAGTTGGATATAGCAGCCTCTTCCATTTAATTTTAAGTGTAGCAACAGATTGACTCCAGAAATATCATGCAGGAATCCGTAGCACAGATAAGGAGCTTTGCTAAAAGCCTGGCTGGGAGATATGTATGCTCATGAATACTTAATTAATCCATGCAGTGTAATCAACCAGCAAGACTACAAAAGAACAGCAAGTCTTACCATCAAATGGTAAATCATTACTTAAGTAACACAGATAGCATTAAGTGCCTCAGGTCAGCAACAATCTTAAAATCAATAGGCTGCAAAGGAAACATCTATGTAGGACAAATCTGCTCTTTTAGAACACCTCTGGTGACTTTCATTTCCCTGTGTTGGTAATGAAGATGGCCTTGCCTAGGGCTTCTAGAACTGTCTTCTGTGGATACAGCCCTGAATGCAACACTACCTGTGTCCACCAGCCTATGGGATATTTCTTAAACTACATGTTTTGACCTATAACTGGGTTTTGATTACCTGTTTTTAAAAAATGATATAGAACTTAAATCAGCACATGTAATTAGGGTTACTGTTGGTTAGTGAAATCTTTGTATTGTATATATGTGTACATTTATGTACATATATGACACATGTACAAGCATGTATACTGGGTCATAATGTTAAAATGTATTTCTTCTTGTAGACTGGTAAAAAAAAATTTTGTGAAAAACAATACTGATTCCAGGTATCACCAACTCCAGTTTGAAATCTTTGTGATTTTGTCTCCCCTTCTCACGGTGACTACAATCTTAAGTGCCCTTTAAAATCCCCAAATATAATATTAATAGTATCCCTATGTCCAGTTTTCCCTATTCCAATCATCTTGTGTAGTGCCACAAGAAGACTCTTTCTGAAGTATGAATATGATCATTTACTGTTTGGCTTTAAGAGTTTCCCATTTTTAAAGAGAGTAAATTCTAAACCCCTTAGCTTTTATGTCCTTCAAATACACACTCACACATCCCTGCATCTCGTC